TCGTGGGGAGCGAGGGGCTGGGAGGGGGGGGCTGGGAGAAGGGGGCCTTGGAGGGCTGGGGGTGTCCCTAACCCCACCTCTTCCCCCCCCAGGTGATGCCTTGTAACATCAGGCCTGGTGGGGGGGCAGAAGTGGGGCTTGGAGGTGCCGGGTCAATCGGTGATGGGCGTGTCCCAGGGTGCCCCTCTGCAGGTGGGTGGGGAAATCTATGCGGAGTGGGTGTGTCTCTCTCTAACTCCACCCACGCTTCCCCCCCCACAACCATTCCCAGCACACAAGTGGGGGGATGGGGTTCAGGGGGCAAGGTCTATGCGACAAGGGTGGGGTTTGTGGGTGGGCGTGGCTCTCTCTAACCCCGCCCCTCCCCAGGTGGTGTGGTGTCGCTCCATGCCCTGCGAGCTGTCGGGCGACGCCCAGTGCCCCTGGACCGTTGGGCTGGAGGACTGGGACTGGAACTGGCAGGGGCCCCAGGCCGAGCGCCAGGCCTGCCTGCCCCGCCCCAGCCAGCCCCTCGAGGACAGCTTCTGCGCCTGGGAGACCCTTGACGACAGCTTCTCCGAGGCCACAGCCAACTCCCCCGGACTGTGACCCCCCGAAAATACCCTGACCCCCAGAACTGTCACCCCCTCTCCCTTTGTTCCCCCACCCCAGCTCGGGCTTGGTTAAAATGATTTTGCTGAGTTTGATTCTTAATAAATAAATTGCTGGAACCCAGATCTGCGCTGTCGTCTGCCGGCCCAGGGCCGGGGGGCGTGAGAACCCCTTGCATTGAGCCCCAGGCCGAGCTGCCCCCTGGCACATACCCCAGAGCACCCCCAGGCACCAATCCCTGGCTGCTCCCCTGTGCCCCAATCCACTGCACCCCCAGGAGCGGAGTTCTCTATGTACAGGTCCTGAGATGCAGCTACCTCTGTGTTATACCAATAAAAACGAGCAGGATCTTATTAAAGGGGACAAGATAAAGATGCCACATTTATTACGATAACAATTTGATTTATGACCAATAACTAATATCTTAATCCTTATACACACACATTATACCCAATACCTATAAACACACACTCACACACACACACACACCCATCAGATGTTCTGCAGCTGCTGCATAGTTACCAGTCCTGCTTGAGTTTGCAGCTGGGGTTCGTAGCTTGTGGCGGCTAACTGGCCAGGAAAGCCGGTTACAAGGACGAGCTGGGTCTCTGTTGGGCATGCACCGATGCCCTTCCATGCTGGCAGCAGAATGTTACCCTCCTCCGAAGTTTTCCATCTCACCCATCCTTTTTGTAGGCTTTAGTTTGAATGCAGAGTCTATAGGTCTTGCTGTGTCGCGCTGCCTCCGGGTTTGGTGATTGATCACCCGTCAATTGCAGACATGACTTTCAGCCTGGGACCGGGCCTTGATCTTCCTTCTATTGGACCTTTTCTTTTTAGGGTGGATTCTTCTGACTTTGTTAGGGCTCTTGTCTGCATCTTCAGCCCTTGGTGTTTGAACTCTATTTCATCAGGACAGGCTGGGGCTGGAGGTTGAGTCCATCATCCATCCATCCCTCATTCACACATCTAAACTAAACTAATAAGATTACAGCAGGGTTTGCAGAAATGAAGGTTGCAGCAAGCCCTTACAAACTGGAGTCAGCGTTTTAAAATGGGGTTTGAATTACAATATGGCAAACAGTGAACAGAAGTTACAATATAGACAAGTATAATGGATGGCAAACAGTGAACAGAAGTTCCACTGTAGGCAAGTGGAATAAATGGTGAACAGAAGTTCCAAGACTGAAACAGTGCAAGTGATTTAAGCAGGAATTGGATTGATAGTGAAACGTACAAAGGCAGCTGACTGACCAGCTATGGCTCTTAACAAGCATCTGAACTGTTAATTAGCCAGTTATTGGGGTAACCGGTTTTAGGAATGAATGTTGTTTCATTCATAAAACTTTACTGATGAAGTTACATTAATAAAGTGAACAATTAAAAACAATTTCATTCATCGGTTCTACCTCTGGGGCGGGGCAGCTGGCGAACGGACACACGCAACATTACATGGGGACAGCTCTCCTGGGACTGAGACGCAGCCACCTCTGGGGCGGGGTCACTGAGGAATAGCTGCACATAATACAAAACACCAGCCCCCTGCCAGCCCGGGCCTGGGCTTGTCTCCCCAAGTGCTGCCGGTGCCCCTCACTCCTGAGACCCACTGCCCCTGCCAGAGAGCTGGGAGGGAACCCAGGAGTCCTGGCTCCCAGCCCCCCTGCTCTGACCCACCAGACCCCAGTCCCTTCCCAGAGCTGGGGAGAGAACCCAGGAGTCCTGTATCTCAGCCCCCCCGCTGCTCTAACCACTAGACCCCACTCCCCTCCCAGAGCTGGGGAGAGAACCCAGGAGTCCTGGCTCTCAGCCCCCCCGCTGCTCTAACCACTAGACCCCCCTCCCCTCCCAGAGCCGGGGAGAGAACCCAGGAGTCCTGGCTCCCAGCCTCCCTGCTCTAACCACCAGCCCCCACTCCCCTCCCCACCAGATGTCCCGATTTTATAGGGACAGTCCCGATTTTTTGGGGCTTTGTCTTATATAGGTGCCTATTACCCTCCACCCCCGTCCCGATTTTTCACTTGCTGTCTGGTCACCCTACTTCCAACCCTAATCTTCCATGAATCTGTGATTCTACCGTGGGCCTCTGCTCCCCTCTAGTGGCTTTTTGATTTCCCATGCTCAGAAGGCCAAGAGGAAACGGGAAATCCTACTTGACTTGACTTCTAGTGCCCCCGCTCTAACCTAGAGGGTCTCAAACTGGTGAGAGGTGCCTGTTGAGAACCCAGGAGTCCTGGCTGCCAGCCCCCCGCACCAGGGCGAGGTGGTTCCATGCCTGGTACAGATGCAGGTCGGTGGTGGACGGGGTCATCCCTGCTGAGCTGCGCCCGGGGTAAGGCCCTTCCCCCCGGGGGTGGGGAGCGTCGCTGCTACAGTGCCCTGGCTGTGGTGTGGACGTCCCCGGGGAAACTGGCCTGGTCCTGGGGGCTGCCAGCCGCTTAGTGCTGCCTGGTGTG